GCGGAAGCAACTAACTAGTATAAATGTCATAGGAAAGCAGAAAGTAATGACAACTAAATCCTATAATGTTGGAGGCAGGAGCCTCATTATGGAAACAACTGACTAGTGTATAAGTCCTAAGAACAACGAAAGCAGAAACAACTAAATCTTATAAATGTTAGAGGTAGTAGCCCCAGTCTAAGAGCAACAAAGCAACAACAAGACAACCATATATATCACAGAAGAAGTGTGTCGCAAACCACAGGGTGGGATGGTCTCTAAGGGTGGCGAATGCAGCCTAGGGGTCGATAAACTCCTAAGGGCATCCACACATAATGACAGGGAGACACATGTCATCAGGCTCAATGAGGGTAGGGAACTGGGAGCGAACAAAACCAATGACCCTAACAGATAGACCATCAGGGCGGGTAATGCTCGACTAAAGGGGTGACCGCTATGAAGGGTCAACCATGCAAGGGAATAAGGGAATCTGGTATACTGGGCGCACTTAGATAAAGCATGCAAGGCTGCCTAACTAGGGCGTGAGGGCCAGCAGAGGGTATAAAAAATGATGGGTAAGGGAATCATGCAAATGACTCCTAAAGTGAGGGAAGTTGGAGCTAGATTCGTAAGTTGGGAAGCCAGGGCAACGCTACGGTCCCGATGTCTATGCATATACCAAGGGAGAGCCCAACTCGAAGGAACCCGACGAAGGGAGACCATCATGCGACACAACGAGGGTACTATACAGGGTAAGGTGGTAAGAGAGTCACGACGTCTAAAGTAGGCTGAGAAGATCGCAACGAAGTCCATGAAGATGCTAATAACGTCCATGATGAGAAGTCTGGAATGTCGTCGAGGAAGAGCCGCAATGTCGACGAGCTGAAATGAAAAAACTGGTGTGGATGGAGTACTAAGAAGTCAAAGACGTGGGAAGAGAAGTCAGAGTCAATCGTCGTATCGAGCAGGACGACGACGAGTGCGCTGTGGACACGCTTAGCAAGTTTCGGCGTCGTTTTTTTGGCCCATGCCGCATTCTCCAGGCCGTCGGTTCTCATACGGCTTCTAGCCCGGTCAACTTTCGTGTGAAGTTATCCGACTACTTACGCCAGACTCATGTGCACGATGTCTATCACGTCTTGTTACTACGTTCCTATCGCAGATCGTCTTAGCGTTTCGTTGGACGACCATACGAGTGCCCTCTGTAGCCATGCACACACTGTGACCAGTGTGTTATAGAGGTGGCTACGCACGTGCATAGCCAGCAGCTGCCCAGGTTCAAACCCTGTCAGCAGCATGCATCCCGGATCCCTGATAAGTAAATCCGAGAGCAGGGCGGGGCGGGGCAGCGAGGCAGCGTGGGCATGTGGCGCATGCGTGTGCGTGTGCGGCGACCTTGGCCTTGGCGCTTGTGCGCTCGTGTCGTGACGCCGCTTGTCTTTTCTCGCCACGTGACACTCCTTGCTGCTACTTTTTTTTCCCCCGCTGTTTTTCGTCGAAAACCGTCCGAAAAACACTAAAAAACTCGATATCGAATTTACACTGTTTTCCCACTGTGCTCGGTGGGATGGGTGGGAGCGGGGAACGTTCCCGCTTCGATACCAGTATGGCGGACCCACCAGGTGTGGTACTTCGCCTGGGATAGAGATGCAGATGAAGGATGAGAGTGGAGCAAGATGGCACAACGCAACTCCCATGCGAGACTCTAACATACGTACTCCAAACTGTGCGAATGCAAAATGATCCAGAATACAGACTCTGGCTGGGGTATACCTCAGTGGACTGACTCAACTAGACTGGACTGACTGGTACCGACAGAGGTACCAGCCTGGACTGGACTACCCCGAATACAACACAGGCCTGTGAGAGCAGGCCAAGGGGCTGGTCTCACAGGCCAACCATAGGTCCGCTACAACCTTCGAAGTATTTTTTTTGTAATTATAGTATTACGGGGAACCCCGTAGCAGCCACATCCGTGCTCAAGCCTCCAACGATGGAACGAAAAAAAAAAAAAGGTGCGACGCCCTTCAACTATCATCGTTGAACTGATTGGTCCATCGTAATTCGAAATGATTTTGTCTTGGTTCTCATTGTGTACAAATTTGAGTTTGGGCTTGTGGATGTACCGCCTGAGCTCCCCAAAACGCCAAGTCCCATTAGCTTGGATTCGTCATT